TCATCTCAATCCCCCCTCTGGCAGGTTAAAGCCATCCCCCTTGTCCTGCCCCTAAAGGCCCTCATCCAAAGCCCCTCTCCAGCTTTCTTGTAGCCCCTTTAGGTATTGGAAGACTTGTTATAAAGTCTTTCCTGAGCCTTCTCTTTTCCAGGCTAAACACACACACACATACATATATATGTATGATATGAGGGATACTTGCTCACTTGTACCACCACCATACGAAGTCTTTGCAGCATCATGGCCAAACTGGCTCTCGGCAGCCCCAAATGTGGGTCCCCCTAACCTTCCTGGTCAGTTTAACTTGGATCTAGACTAACTTTTACAGCTGTTTGCTAAAAGAGCTGGATGAGGGCACTGTCATCTCTGAGATCAAAACGTGAGTGACGAAATGACAGCTCACCAGCAAACCTGGGGATCCACGAAGTCTTTGCAGCATCATGGCCAAACTGGCTCTCGGCAGCCCCAAATGTGGGTCCCCCTAACCTTCCTGGTCAGTTTAACTTGGATCTAGACTAACTTTTACAGCTGTTTGCTAAAAGAGCTGGATGAGGGCACTGTCATCTCTGAGATCAAAACGTGAGTGACGAAATGACAGCTCACCAGCAAACCTGGGGATCCTGTACCCCAGGGTCCACCCCCCACCGCTCTTTCCCTGTATCTCTTCTCATTTTTTAGCTCAGAAAAATTGTTTTCCAGAATGTTCAGCTTTCCTTTAGTCTCTTCAATCTACCCAGCTCTCTTGTCACTTCACAGGGAGCTGCAGGGTGGCCATGCTGCAATTCAGCTGAGGTTGCTTTTGCAACTTGTGGGAAGCAGCAACTCCAACACGATGTCTACTGCTGGGTCTCAGCAGACACGCTCAGTGTAAGGAACCCGAATTACATCCCACCACCACAACCCATGATCTCTATGGGGACGTGATGCCACAGCCTGAATTGGCATCACACAGCGATGGCTGTAAATAAGAGGCTGCAGGCTCAGCAGGAGTCACTTTGTCGATGCTTTTGCCCAATGAATACCCACTGCAGGCTGGCTGCCCTCCACCCATGGCCACGGCACGGTCCCACACTTGGTGTTCAAGGAAAGCAGAACTATCTATGTACACGCACCTGGGCAGCTCTCAGGTTGACATCTCCCTCCTTCAGCAGCTTCATCACCACCTCCATGTCCTCGCCCGTCTCAGCGGCCGCCAGTGGGGTGAGCATCACTGCGGTGTAGCCGGCGCGGTTCTGCAGGTCCAGGCGGCACACGCCTGGGTGATGCACGGCACAGGGCGAGGATCGGCCCCACGATGAATCAGCCCAAGGGAAGGGGAAGCAAAGAGGGGATACGGATTTGTGGCATCTTGTATTCCCAGAAACAGGAGTTTCTATAATCATACAGGATTGAGATTTATCTGTGTTAAGCATCTGAGTCTTGTGAGCGCAGCATTAAATGGCTCTTGGTGTTACTCATTGCTGTAGTTGATTACAGCTGCTGGGGTCAACTCAATTAACTTTGAAGACCATAACCAAAAGGAAAAAGGAGGGGGGATAACTAATGCCTTGGGCACATGCTGTGGGCTGTTTGCCTCCACTCCTGCAGGAAGAGAGCAGCAGAAAGGTGACCATCACCCAACGGGCAGTGTGAACCCATCCTGGCCCTGTTTCACTCCCTTTTCACCTCAAAACGCCAATTTCCAGCTCCACCACGAGGAACTGTGTCTAATGGGTGAGGGCTCAGGTCCAGCCCTGCCCCAGGACCCAGCCACCGTTGGCACCCAGCAGCAGAAGGGGACAGGGCTGCAGCAACAATCGGGTTATAGATGTGTATGGTAATCTGCCATTTCCCGAACATTGAACGGATTGTCTGGCCCATGAGAAAAGGCCAAAGTGCCTCCTTTCTTCCAGAGCACATGCGCATTTCCGCCCCCCATACAAGCTCAGCTGAGATGTTTTCTTTCTTTGCAACACAAGCTGAAAGTTCAATAGGTTAACACAGAGTTTTTCTGTGCACTGGGGCGTTTGTTACACTCTCAGGGGTCTGATCCTCCTGCTCCAGGCCATGATGTAGCACTTGCTGCTATAAGAAGAACCCCCATGAGCACAAAAACCCTGAACTATCCCAGACTGCAAAGCCCACATATATCAGGGCCCTGAGGGCACTAATGAGCCTTAATGTCCCTAAGGAGCTTCAGCTGAGACCCACATCCATGGGCTCAGGGCTGAGCTATGGGGGAGGATGCTGGTCTTCAGATCAACCATATCTCCACAATGGACCTTGGCCCCATGCTTGTACCTGGGATGGACCTTGGCCCTACATCTGTCCCTTGGATAGACTTCGGACCTACATTTGTCTCCTGGATGGACATTGGCGCTGTGCTTCTCTGTTGGATGGCTCCCTTGCACGTAGGTTGTAGTTGGTCCCCAGTCCTACCTCTGCCCCATCTCCTTTTGCTCCTGACTGAACCCCCTGGGAGGACCCTGGACCTCATTCACTGTTTGCCATGTCTAAGACTGTTGATGGACCTGGGTTTGCACACCTTGGTCATCCCCTGTGGGACTGTGCCCCATTAGCACAACATAAAGTAACTTCCACACCCATACCCACCAGAAGCCATGGCTGAGCAGAGTGGCTGCTCCTACCTGTGTCCAGCAGGAGCTTTGCGGTCGGGAAGTTGGAGTGGGAAACGCTGTAGTGAAGAGCTGTGTTGCCGTTCCTGTCGGCCAGGTTCACCACCACCTCCAGGAGCTGCGGCTCGATGGCTCCCAGTGCCTCGAGATACGCCGCGACAACCTCGGGGCTGGAGGACTTGTGGCTCGACACCCGGAACCACTCCTGGCTGATGGAGCTCAGGACGTGCTGCTGCAAACACCGAGGTCTCACCATTACATCTGGGGTAGTCACCCCCAACAGCAGCCCCTGGCCCAGCTCCTCGCCCTGCACCATTTCATCCTGTGTTCTGGCATTGCCCAGCTGGTATTTAGCTTGTGGTTTTGTGATTGCTGCTATAGCTTAAGGGAGAAAGGAATTTCCTGTGGTAACTTCAATGAGTAAGCAGAGAAAGCATTCATCTTCCTTTTTGCCCCTCTATTCCTTTCTTTTTGGCTATTCTAAAACTGACTCAGAGGTCATCTCATCCCCCTCTCCTCACAAAGCTCTCCGTGCATGGTAGGACACAGCCTGCAACATGCCATCAGGATTAACTTATCCATTAAATGTACAAAGAGCAGGAGCCACGTCTGAAATGGGATGGAAAAATATCTATACCAGATGCTTGTCACTTGTGGTCCTGATTTCGGAGAGGTGCTTGCTGAGTAGCTGGCAGTCGGCAAGGAAATCTTCAGAGGGTTTGCATCTAGAGGGAAAATACTTTGGTAAATCCATTATGGGACAGAACTTGCAGGAGGTATCAAAGCAGGAAGGAGAACATGCAGTTTAGAATAGTATGTTCAACACTTCTTTAAGTGCCCAACTTTACGGACACAAGGTGTCCCATTGACTTGATACAGATTTTAGGTACAAAGTTAAGCGCTTGAAGAAGTGTTTAAGTCCAGAGTCCCAGATCTGTATGGTCAACTTCACTGCAAGTTAAAGTGGAAAAAAAACCCCTTGTTCTTGAATCTGCAAAGAACTTTACTGTGAAACTTTAACGTGAGAGGGGAGAAATGAGCTAATTCTCACCAAATATGGCTCATTCCATCTTTTCCACTGTGAAGAGTGGTGCCTGAATCAATCCCCATTAGATTCTGTAGTAACTCAAAAAGTATTTATCTCTTTAAAGCCTCTTTCCATGTCGACAGAGGTCAGCAACTGCCTTTCCACCGAGCACATGAAGCCCTGTCCCCAGCCCCATAGAAGCGAGTGAACGCAGTGCTGTGCATCCTGTGGCTGCAGGAACATGATGGAGAGCACGCTCGCTCTCTGGTTTGGATTACCTGTCAACCTTGTGCTCAGTGCAAGGTGCTGCTTCTGTTGATGGCTCCTGCAAGTCGTCGTCCTCACACCTCTCCTGCGAGGAGGTCCCGGACGAAGCCCCCTTGGTTTCACCTCCAGCTTTCTCCTGCGTGGGCTCCAAGTCATCAGCTCTCCTCTCCGTCTCACTCTCCACGTCGCATTCCGATGGGCTGTCTTCACAACTCGTGTCTTCGCTTGAAGTCGTTTCATAGCTATTTGAGGACACCACATGTTATTCAGTCCTTCCCCATCCGCAACCACAGAGCCTGACCAAGACCCATTGAAGACACCCACTGACTCCAATGGGCCTTGGGTGAAGCCTGGAGCGATACACAAGTTAGAGGGTTAGAGCCACAGCCAAACCTGGGGTTAGTCTTTATTTCACTTCTTGTGTGACAGAAGCAGTTAATCAGCGGCAGGCAAGGTTACTTCAGGGACTACTTGGTGGGTTTGGAGGGGTGTCCATCGCAGAAGCCCCAGCACGGCCAGGCAAGGGCTGTGTGCCATCTCCGTGGTGGGAGCTGCTGGCACGCTGGTGGGAAGCCACAGGGAACATGGACTCTGGACAAAACTGTATTTGCAGCTCCAGCATGGACCAGACTCCACCATTTGAGCAGCCCCACTAGAGAGACCTCTCTTCTGGTTGTCCAAAATTAACAACATCTTCCTTGAGACAGAACATTTCACTCCAAGGGATCCCAAAACTTTTCTCAAACTAGTTGAGATTCCTCTGCTTGCTACAAGCTGTACCCATTTCAGTGACTTTTGGTAGAAGCAGCTCTACACAAGACTGAGTAACACCTGATGAACCCAACAGCAGTAGCCATCGAGCTGGGAAGTCAGAGAATACCAGCATCCAAACTTGCACACGTAGCTGTTTGCACAGCAAAGGGACAGTGAAATGTGTCTTGTCCTCTTCACGCCAGCACACGTGCTCCTCAATACACGTGCCAGTGCTGCTCTTAGAGATGCACCTACAGCACGTGTTGTTGTAACTAGTTAGCTCAAAGGCCGAAGAGTGTCAGATACTGGATACAGAGAGAACTGGGTGCTGGAGCACAACCTAAAATAAGGATCTCCACCCCGAGGTAATTCCTTATTTACTGAAGTAGTCTTTTCTCAGTCCCTGAACCAACTTGTGTTGGCTGTCACTGGAGTGTGGAGGCAGGTTAGTGGCAGCGTGTCCATCCAGGCAATGCTGACCTCCTCCAAAACCCACCAAAGGTAGTGGGAAACTTCCCATGGACCCAGCTGGGTTTTGGATGAGGCCTTAAAAGATGGGTGTGCAGAGAGTGTCAGTCCCCAGGGTGTTCCTCACTGCTCTGAAAACACCAACATCCTTTCTACAGGGTTACTTACAGGTTATCAGTGCTGGATTAAAGAAGGGAGAAAAGAGGCTCCATTTCAAATGGCCTTTTAATCAAGAGGTTTGGAGAGGAGAAGAGGGAAAAAGAAGAATGACTTCTTCAGCAATACAGAGGACATAACATGTCAAAAGGCAGTTTTAGCTTCTGGACGGATGCTTACCCACCATTTACCCCAACAAACTGAAGATTCTTTTTGGTCCCATTGCCTCCCGCATGGAAACCATAACCTTTCTTTTTCATGATGGATTTAAGACTTGTGGTTGGAGAGATTTCTAGCAAAATACAAAATATTAATAGATTAATTAAGCAGATGTGCCATAATTATCAGTAATTATTCCCAACCTCTAGCAATAAAATGCATATCACAACCATAAGCATCTTATGTGATAATATCACAACCATAATCTCATCTTACGAGATTCTTTTTGTACCCGACAATACCACAGATGCACCTGGCCACAACCTGAACCTGCCCTGTGTCCTCTAAAACATGGGTCTCAAACATCTCCAAGTGACTGGGAATTATATATGTGTCCTATGCATATAAGTAGGTTTTACTTTTGTAATAATGTTTTTTATGTTTTCCGATACTAAAGTATTGGAAATCTCCTGTGTACATCTCCTATAATACTACATGGATGAGTCTTTCCATCAGACTTCGAATAGTCTCGCTACATATTGCTTGTAAGCTCAGGTAGCTTGGATTGGTTTTGGTTCTGATGAACTCCAAGCTGATTTATCCCAGATGAGCAGAGTCCCATATTCTTGGAAATCTAATCCAATTGAGAAGAACGGTTGTTTGGTGGAAGTGCCCATGGGAATGGCCACTTTTGGAAGCTGATCCTGTGTATAACTGAGGCACAGCTTTATCAGTTCCTACATTGTTTTGTTTGCTTATTTTAAGATGACATCGCTTATGATGTGCAGAGATTTCCCTTTCTCATACGTGTCTGGGAGAGGCTATTTCTGATCAGACACATACTAATTATATCACTGCATCGCCTCCACTCAACACTTGAATAAATAGGAAGAGATTTGGCCTGTACATGTTGAAACCTATGTCAGTATTATTTACCCAACTGTTGATAGTGCGTGTTCGAATTCTCCTTATCCGCAGGCCCTCGCGTAGAGTAGGCAGAGAGCAACGAGTTTAAGGAATTAACCAATTGGTTCTGGATGGAGCTGAGCTTGGAAGCCGGCTGCTTAATAGCACTCGCGAGCTCGGGGTAGCCGTGCTCCAAACACAGCCACTGCTCCTGCAAGAGCTCCTGGATCTTTTTTACATATTGGCCAATGGGATCAACAGCAGGGAGATCCTCGTGGTCCGGGGAATCTTCCTCTTCCAGCCCATCCTGAGGTTTATCTTCTCCAAAGCCTGCCTTGTTTTCACCTGCCTTTGAGCCCATTCTTGCTCCTCCATAGCCTTCTGCACCCACCGCGTGAGCAGCGAGACTCTGGGTATCGTAGTTATTCCTGTGATTTTGATTGTCATCACCAAGGTGCTCGTCAGTCTTCAGCGGGGTGAAACACGGTGCGTGAAGCCCAGCCTCGATGTTGGCTTCGCCACAATGTCCCTCTCCACTGACACTGGTGTGAGCATCTGCCAGTCCCTGATCTCTCCAAGCACCCAGCTCCATCGCCTGCGTGTTCATGTTGTCTGCTCTGTGGACGCTGCATCCTATGGATTTGGTGGAGACTGGGATATTTACATTGATGCCTTTATCATGGGCCTGCTTGGCCACAGTTACCTGTGAGAGGTCAGTGTTCACCGCAGCATCGGAGCACTGCAAAGCCCGACCGCTCCGCCTGGATGGTGGCTCGGCCTCTGCAGTGTTTGCCCGGCTCAGCTTCTCCTCCAGCTGAGCTTTGGAGCTGGCCAGTAACTGAATGCTCTTCTCCTTCTCCTTGATTTCATGATCCTGCTGCTCCAGCACTGCCCTGACCTGCTCGAGCTCTTCTTTCTTCTTGTCCAGCTGCTCCTCCAGAGCAGCAATCTGCTGCTTCAGCGCGGCAACCCCACCGGCATCTCCAGCATCACAAGGCTGAGGACCACGGCTCTCCTTGCTCTCTCCAGCCGAAACACTTCCCTCCTCAGCTTTCTCCAGCACGTTCAGAGTGATTTCACTCACACTTAACTCCCCTTCCCCAGGGTTCGTGTTCTCCTCTGTGACCTGCAGGGCAGCGGGTGATGCTGGTTCACCCCTGGCCAAAGCAGAGCGACCACTGGCATCAGCA